GGAGGGGAGAGAGAGAGAGAGAGAGAGAGAGAGAGAGAGGGACGGGAGAGGCGGGAGGGAGGGAGGGAGGCGGTGAAAGAAGAAGAGGAACAAGGGTGATGTGGTGCTTGTTTGCATGTGATGTGGAAGCTTGTTTTATCTTTCTTATTGTTGTGGTGTGGTGGTCGTCGTTTGGTGGTTGGGTGGCGGTAGAGTGCATGTTGTGTGTTTGCTGTGTACGAGTTAACTAGTCAGTCAGTTGGATGCTTGGTACGGTACAGTACGGTATGGTTACTGCAAGCAAGAATCTTTTCCTCTCATTCTCATCTCCTCTCGTCTATGCATGTCTCTTCACTTCCTTGGACCCGCGAGATTGCATGTGCTGTTGGCATGGCTTAACACGCAGAACCCCCAGCAAGCAAGGTATCGGCATCAGTACCAGACAAAGCGGGCACTCTGACATGCAGCGGAAATCGGGTATAGCTACAGCCGTAATGTGATGAAGAAGACAACCTATCAAACTCGATGGATATTTTTGCTTTTCCCACCCCGCCCCTTTTTGTTTCCACACAGTCTTGCCGCCCACATCCGCTCATCATGACACACAGAGAGAGACTACCGAGAGTGACAGACAGACAGCTCATGCAGGTAATTAAGACACACCGACAATCGATAGCGCGGCGCAACAAAGTTCAGCATGGCATCAAGAGGGAAATGACCAGCGCAGGTGCAGGCGCACACGTGTGGCGCAGGCATTATTGACGACATGCAGGGTTTGTATGGCCAGGGGAGGCCGGGAGAGGGGGAGATTAGCACAAAGGTTGGGAGGCGGGAAGCACGCCACACACAAGACGACAAGACAAGCACATGCTGGCACCTGACGGCAGATGATAGCAATGGATGGGCGGTTGCACATGGGCGAGGATATGCAGGTGCGTGGTGGGCATGTTGGCGGTTGGCTGGGCGGCGGGGCTAATGGCCATGCTAAGAAATGGCTATGGTGATATTAGGAACGACCATCAATGCAAATCAATAATACTTGATCACTCATGGCAGCGGCAGCCCAGATTGGACTCGGCCAAATCACATGGGCGGGCGACGACGACGACGATGATGATGACAAAGTCCGCATGAAGAGCTAGTGCCACCAATGTATTGTCGAGATTCTTTGCTGATGGATCCGGCAGCCCGCTTCACACCATCCTGCCCTGGTCGTCGTCGCCGCCGTGGCTCTCCCCCAAGACGGGTGGCGGGTAATCAAACACTTGTCAGCGCCGTGGGACTGTCGCTTGCTGCCAAGGTGAAACAAGCTCGCGAGGAGAGGCATGGCTGGGGCGCTGCAGGCGCAGGCGGTGGGGTGGGTGAGGCCGTTGCAGCAGTGTTTGAGCCTCAGCAGCGAACGCGTACAAAGGGCGGACGCGATGCCTGTTCAGGGCGGCGTGGTGGTTCGGTAGGCCGGCAAGTCGTCATTTCCCGTTTGGGCCGAGCGCGATTGCGCCAAGGGCCAGGGCCGGGGCCGGGCCGGGGTCAGACACGCGGACCGGCATGCGCGCACCAGACCGAGCAAAGAAAGAGGAGAAGGAAAAAAAAAGGTGCAAGTGACAGCGAAGACGTTGTTTGTATTCGAACGCATCAAGGGTCGGCTGCGGCTGCGACAGGACAGGACAAGACAGGTGCGCGCGTGGGCGGAGGATAGGTACAGGAAACAGATGGCGGCGGGCCCGTGACACTGTGCGAGTAGCAGCAGCCACGACACGCCTTGTTGCACCAACAGGTGCATGCGGGGTATGGCAGCCTTGACTGCTCACTGCCGCCTGGGCTGGTCCGGTGAACAGGCGGCGACGGGGGGCAGCAGGCGCTGGTACGAGTGCTCCCCCACAATGGTCGATTCGCGGTGCTCGACAAACGTGCGGATGCGCTCGTCGCGGTCTCCACTGGCGCTCAGTGTGGCGTGCCTGCTGCGGCGGTACTCGATGCTCGCCTCGCGGTGCATCTGGTCGCGGCGCTCAATGGCCGACGCGCTGAAGGAGCTGAAGCGCGTGCCCTGCACCACGCCGCCGATGCTCACCAGCGCAAACAGCAGCGCCATGAAGGCCAGGTTGGACATTTGCACCGTGTGCGCGTGCGCGTCCTTGGCGCCGCTGTTCTCGCCGTGCCAGCGCTCCCAGTCCTCCCATGTCGCGTTGGTGCGGGGGTCGGTGGTCCAGCGGCGCGCCTCGACGTCCCAGTCGCTGTGTCGGCGCGCCGAGGGCGAGGGCGTGTCATGGTGGCCCGCCCAGCCGTGCCCCCAGCCATCATACGCCTTGCGTTTCTCAACGTCCGACAGGATATCGTGCGCTGCAACCAGCATGCGATAGCGCTCCAGCCGCACGTGCAGAGGCAGCTGCGCAATCGCGGGCGACACATGGCCGCCGTCGGGGTGGTACAGCTTGACGAGGGCGTAGAAGCGGTGCTTGGAATATGCCTCGCCCTTTGCACACCGGAGGATCTGGTAGGGCGTGGGTGTCTTATGCGGCTTTTCAGCCTGTGGCCACGTCAGCAGGTCCGCGTCGACGTGCTGGGCGTAGCCGCGCCGCTGGTGTTGGTGGTGTTGGTGGTATTGCTGCTGCTGCTGCTGCTGTTGTTGTTGTTGTTGCTGTCGCGGGGGCGTGGCGGTGGGAGGGCGCGCGAGTCTATGACGGCATGACCGGTGGCAGAGGGTTGTAGCAGTGCGAGGCGCGAGCACCAGCACACAGTTCCGGGACAGCATGGTCGCGCGCGCAATGGGGCTGGTGTGGGCGGGCACACATGCACGTGTACATGCTCTCGCTCTCGCTCTCTCTCGTTCTCTCTCTCGCTCTCCGGCCGTGGGGTAATAATGGTCGTCTGTCAGTCAGAAAGCCAGGCCGGCCGCCAGTCAGTGGCCGTGTGTGGGGTCGCGGCCATGGCGGCGGCCGCGATCCACCGTCGCGGCGCGCTAGGCCGCTTCGGGCCAGGCGGCGCCGCAGACAGCTCCGCGCGCGGCCGTCGTCTTTGTCTCTCTCTCGCATCTCTGCCTCTGCTGTCGTCTGCCTCTCGTCGCCTCGCCCGCCCGCCTGCATCCACTGGCAACCTCTTCCGACGACGCCGTCGTTACACGAGCCACAGCCACCATGCATGTGCGGTCGCTTCCGTCGCCCTTGGCCTGCCGCCAGAGGGCGCGCGGTGGAGCCTCGCGCCGCGCGACTCAGCACAGTGTTTGACGTGAACTCCTTCGCCTTCGCTTGCGCATGCCGTGCGAACTCTGCCCCTGCACCCACACAAACACCCGGCTCCCTCTGCATGAACTACACCCTGGAATCCTCTCAGCCGCCGACTCTTCTTGTCCCTCGCAACGTCTGCCCGGTGGGTTCCTGGCGGGGGCTGCCCATAACAACGCCTAACCACCGAGTCTCGTGCGCCGCCCATTCACTTCACCACTGTCCTTTCCGTCTGACGCTTGCGCCTATATCTTGCTAATATCCCCTCGCCGTCTTGGCCACCTCCTCCCCCACCCCCACCCACACCCCATCTTCCCCCAAGCCACCGTCAAGAGAAGAAGAAAGAAAGAAACACCCAAAGAGAAGAAAAATAAGAAAAAAAAATACACCATGCCAGCCCGCAGTGACACCAGCCCATACCCTCGTGACGGCTATCTCAACCTGACCCGCCGCATGGACAACGAGGACGAGGACCAGTTTGACGTGGACCTGACAATCCTCGACTTTCTCGTCTTCAAGGCCATCAGCCTGGTGTTTGAGTGGAAGTCGAGCCGTGACCCCTACCATTCCGATCTGCCGAACGCATTGGTCAACATGACAGCCGGTACGTGGGGGGAGGCGTGCCCTCGAGCTGACCGAGTTGCTGACATGAACACGCACCAGACTGGAGAAGCTTCCTCGCCCACAGGCACCAGGGCCGCCGTCTGGATCTCAAGGCCTCGTTTCGCTCACGCCTACTGCAGTTCGCCTTGCTCTTCACCCACCGCCTGCACCACGACGAGACATGGACCACAGAGGCCTCGCTAAACAGCCTGCGAGAACAGAACAAGAGCCGGGGTGAGTACTGGCGCCAGCGGACCCGCCACCAGCCTGCACTCCAGCAGCCATTCGATGCCCAGAAAGACTTTCCCCTATCCGATGGTGCCCTCTACGAAAACCGCTGCGAACTGGCCTCTTCGTTAAGAATGCCCTTGGACCAGCGGAGATGGGTCACCGATGTCGCCGGCACGCCCTCTTTGCACTGCCTGCTCCCCGTCTTCATCGAGCTCACGGCTGCACGCGTCCATCTCGACGATGATTGGGTGCCCACAAGCGAGTGGTACAACCTAGCAGCCCAGTTCATGCTCCAAGCCGTCATTGGCGAGTACCTCCGCAACGGCGCCTACGGTGAAGAGACATTCAACACAATCTTCTCCTACGGCTGTCCGGGTGTCGAGCGCTGGGCCGAAGAACCCGCAGACGTACCTGCCATGCGAACATTGTTCTGCGACCAAAACAATCCGCGCCAAGAGAACCCTGAATGGTCTAGCGTCAAGCGCCGCTACATCCGCGAGCTTCTGCCTCAGCACCGTTCCCAGTCAAGTCTGCAGGCCATCGAAGCTGCCCAGCAGCGACATCCCTATGCTGCTTTTGAAGAGTCATTACTTTCTTTTCTCAGATATCTTCACGATGGCCTAGTCAAGCCTGATCTGGCCCAAGTCGAAGAGGGCCGCATCAACATCGACGGCAGTGAGCTCTCGGAAGCAGAGTCAAGAGCCATGATTCAACGCATGGGTCTGTGAAGCTCTCTTTGCTTCTTTCTTCGCCTGTCGCTTGGCCTCGACATGTTCGCCTGCAGGCATTCTGGAACCCGACCACTTCTTCTTCAGCTTTAATCTCCATGTTTTCGCCCACCATTTAACTTTTCAACCCATCTCCCAAAGCGTGGAGAATACCGCTCCTCTTCCTTGCTTTTTTTTGGTCATCTCCACATGATCTGTTGTCTTCATTTTTTTTCAGTTCCATTTTAGCCCCTTGTATCATATTCTCAGCTACAAGCCATGTTTCTTGTTCATATTCAAATACTTCTTTTTGTTTTCTCGTCTCCGAACACACATCTTCTCGTTTTTTTTAACTCAATGTGCTTGGAGATTGATGAGTTTCTTTCTTTTTTGCTTCCTTTTCTCTTTTTCTCTTTTCCCTTTTCTTGCTCAGGGCTACGTCCAAGACCTTTTTTTTCACCTTTTCGGCTTTTTGTCTTCTTGGCGCCTCTCATGCCACATGTATGGAGCCACATACCATTTCAACCGAGCACAACTGGAAAAAGAAAAAGAAAAAGAAAATCAAGTTTCGTCTAGGTTCTGGGGACTGGTTGTATCTGTTATTGTTGTTTGGTGTAAAACTTGCAAGGGGGGGGGGCCATCGTCTCCTTGTTACTTTGTGTAATACCTTGGAATACAACAGGCCCAATGCCCCACGGAATGAAAATGAAAAAAAAGATCACAACTGTACTTGACATTACACGACGCGCAGTGACTTCTATTGAACGAATTTGGACATGTTGAGATTCTTTTTTTCATTGGTTTGTATCTGATGTGGAGATTATAGCCAACGACTACATCTACTTATACAAGGACGCTGATACGACAAGCACATACACGCAGACCCAGCCAGCTCGAGACGCCCTAAAAGGCACGGCCATGTAGGCCATATACAAGAAGTACAAGAAGAAGAAGAAGGGACCCAAAAAACAAAGAGGAGGAGAAGAGAGAGAGAGAGGATAGAAACAAGACTCAAACAGCCGAGTAAACCGCCGTGCAGCCCCTCCCACACTCGACTTTTTGTTCAAACTCGACGGTACGCCCATTCAACTTGACCTTGTTCCGCGGAGTAATCTGAAACCGATGCATCTCCTTTTCGCGCAGCTGGCTGGTCCAGCCCGCAGCGGCAGACGCGGCTCTCTCGTGCTCCGCGGCCTGGTCGAGCGGCTGGATGTACGCTGGGGTAGCGAGATTGCTTCGCTTGCCCGAGCCGAGTTGGTAGTACTCATTGTTGCCCCAGAAGAGGATGTCGCGCCCCCAGTTTGTGTCGTTGTGCGTGAGTTTGGACGTGCGGCCTGACACGGCCACGCTGGCCACGTTGTCGAGCACTGCGGCGGCGTGCGAGGCGCCGACGGAAATGGTCGAGAGCCGGATGGGCATGGCTTGGTTTTTGGCTTCGTCCCATTCAAAGAGGCCGGAGAAGGTGGGCATCTTGACGGGCTCGGCTTGCGTGTGGACCCACCGGCCCACGCCTAGCTGGCCGGTGAGGCCAAAGCCAAAAGCCCATGTGTCTGCCGTGGTCTTGTTGCCCTTTGTGGCTTCGACGGCGAGGAACGACGTGTTGCCGCCGGCAAAGACGTTTGTCACTTTGCCCTGCTGGCCAGAGTATAGCTTTTGGGTCGGTAGTAGAGAAGGTGCGTCAACGTACTGTGCTTCTGCGTTGAATGGAAAACCTAGTTGGCCGGCAGTGTTGTCGCCAAAAGTAAACGCACGCCCTTCTGAGTCGCATACCAGACTGTGGTAGTCGCCAGTTGCAATCTTCGTGATGGGAAATCCTTTGAGCGTGGTGATCTCGTGTGGTATATCAAAGGCACCAGCCGGTCGGCTCTCCCATGACAGCCCAGGTATGCCCATTTGGCCCTTGCTGGGAAAGTCTTGTGAGCCTGAAGCAAAGGAAAACACGCGGCCGGACGAGGTGAGCATGAGAGCGTGCTCCAGTCCGGAGCGAATGTCGGTCACGCGCTCGCTCCACCCCAGATTCGTGGGCGTGCGTTCGCGGTAAGAGATGTCGTTGGAGCCGCCCCAGAATGGGATCCACGACTTGGACGGCGGCTTGGGTCCTTTCTTTTGCTCCGCCTGCGACACGGGTATCGAGTACACTGAACCGTTGTTGCCAAGGCCGATGATGCGATCGCGTGAGATGGCCAGCGATGTGAGATTGAGCCCCGTCAAAGTTTTCACCGGCTCCTTGACGTTATCAGCGAATGCTGTGCCCCATTGCAGAAGGTCGCCCTTTTCGTCGATCGCCGCCCCAAAGTTCCTGTCCAGCTTGATATCCCGCAGCAGCTTGCCGTCGAAGAAGCTGAGCCGCCTGGGCGTCTTGATGTATTTTTCGTCGGAATCGGGCGCGACCACCTTTCCTGAATTCGAGCCCCACGCATACACGCCGGGGTTCTCCCAGCTCTTGATTACCTGGAGGTGCTGGGAACTGATGATGTTCCGATTGTCGTCGCTTGACGTGGCCTGCCGCCGCGGGGCCTCGAATTGTAGTTCTGGCCCCTCTGGCTCTTCGGCGTGGGCGTCTCTTACGATGGACTCGCCGTTGCACCACTGCCATGCCGTGGCGGTGGCCCAGAGCGCGCCAACAGTGGCGAGGGACCGCACAAAGTGCTGCTGTCGCCGCTGTGCGTATGGATGTGCGGCGGTTCGCACCTGGGGCCGCGAGCCTCTGCCTGCGATGTTTCTACATAGCCGTGGAGCGTGGCGCGTGGGCAGTGTCGCGCGCGAGACACATTTGGTGCTGAGCATGATGCCGCGTGAGGGGGAAACAGGTGGGGTTTGCGTGCCGAGAAGAAACGAGCCAAGGGCTTTCAAGAAGAGTTTCAAGAGAACAACATTTGCACGATGCCCATAGGTCCGATTATCGTCACAGCACCAGTCATTGGGTAGCCTCGATGGCTTGTCGCAATTGCAGCAGCGGAATCGATGACGCTTCTAGGTTTTGGCATCGGCCTCTCTTCTCCACATGCCTCGGCTAGCCCCGATACAGTTAGCGCAATCCTCCCCCACGACACGTAGACGGAGCTCCGACGTGAAGCTTGCGTGTCTGCTTCTGCTAGGGACCGCCGTGCGAGAATCCACACCCCCCCAATCGCGGCAAAAATGTACGAGGGAGACTCGTGGTACAATGCCTTCGTGCCGCGCGCGGCCAAGCCCCAGGAAAAGGGCAAACACCGCCGGAGGGAGAGCCTGCTCAAGCAGGAAAGCGTAAGCCCACCATCCGCCGCATGGGTACGTTTGAGCACTTCTGATGATTGCATTTGTAGGAGACGCAGGCTGACTTCGAGCGCGCAGAGGCCATTGTAGAGACGCCAGAAGATGACCGCCCGGGGAAACTCAGTGGCCCTCCACCGGCCACCGTGGCCAGACGAGCCAAGTCATACAGCGACTTTTATACCGTGGTGCGGACGCACCTGAAGAAGGAAAAGGCATTGGAGAAGAAAAAGTCAAGGGAAGACCTCAGCACTGAACTCGAGTTGGCCGGGTGGTATGGCGATGTCAACGACGACTTGTTGGAAGCCAGCCATGAAGAGTACAGGTAGGCATAGCGAGCACCCGGCTTGGCGAACTGCTGATTGAACTTGTCCAGACGCTACCAGAACCAGCTGCATATGACGCGGAACCACCTTCAAAATGTCATCTCCGATACCACCTCTGCCCTGGACATTCTCTCGTCGCTCTCGGAATCGTTCAAGATTGTCGAAGCGCAGACCAACGCTTTCCGCACACAATGCGAGGGCCTCATAGACGACCAGAAGCGCATCACAAAACTCGCCGACGACATGGAACAGAACCTGCGATACTACCTGTATCTCGAGCCTACCACCAAGCGACTCAATGCGCCAGGCGCGGGAAAGATTGTACGGGGCAGCGAGTTTGTGGAAATGCTGGCAAACTTGGACAGTTGTCTCGACTATATGCAAGCGCACTCGAAGCACCGCGAGGCCGAGACATATCGCTCAAGATACAGATTGCTGCTCACGCGCGCCCTTACTCTCATTCGTGTCCACTTCACCGAAGCCCTGCGAGAGATCGCGGCCGACGTATCGAAACGGATAGCGGACCGGCAACTGAACGACACGACCATGTCTGCATTGTTGTATGCTAAATTCCGTGTTGGCGCGCCAGAGTTGAAGAGCATCGGCATCGAAATACAAAAGCGCGCAGTGCTACCCCCTGGGGCCGCACCAGGAGCAGAGGCAGAGTATCAGAGTCTCATGAATGAGCTATACCAGAGCTACTCGGCTACTCGCGGCCGGCTAATCCTACCCATCATAACGAAAAAGATTGGAGAAATTGCGCAAGCCCCGAGCACATCGACTGACTTGGTCGCGTTTGCTCGAAGTAGCATAAGCTATATTCGCGGCATATGCTTCGACGAATGTGACCTCTGGCGCGAGTGGTTTGAAGGTGACGGCGGGTTGTATGACTTCCTCGAAGCCGTGTGCGAGCCGCTGTACGACCATCTTAGACCACGGACCATTCATGAAACTCAGATACTGAAGCTATGCGAGCTCTGCACGATGATCCAGACACGGTATATGGAAGAGGAAGAGGAAGATTCGTCAGTGGAAGCCAACAAGCTTGACTTTTCCGTCATAGTACATCCTGCACTGGAAGACGCGCAGAGCCGGCTTGTGTTCTTATCACTAGCCGTCCTGCGAGATGACATTGAAAGGTACAAGCCAAAGCCAGAAGACCTCGACTACCCTTCCAAGAACAAGAAGCAAGTCACTTCCGGAACCAAGTCGAACCAACCAGTGTTATCTGGCAAAAAGCAACCAAAGTCTGACGTTCTCTCTACACCATCAATGCCAAAGTCGCCCGCAGTCATTAAAGAAGACGATTCGAACGCTCGGTGGAACTTTAACACTGAGGCAGCCTTTCAAGACTGGTATCCGACATTGCGCAAGGCTATTTGGCTGCTCAGTAAAATATACAGGCTTGTTCATGTATGTATGTATTCGTCTGGATATGATTATGTGCTGACTTGTACAGTCATCCGTTTTCGATGATCTAGCGCATCGCATTGTTCACAGTACCACTGTCTCGCTCACTCACGCCAGTGCACTCCTTGCGAAATCGTCGTCGCCTACAGACGCCGCCTTGTTTCTCATCTCACATCTACTTCTCTTGAAGCAACAGATTGTAGCTTTTGATATCGAATTTGTCACGCCTCAAACCGAGGTCCAATATAACTTCTCCAGCGTGACGAATACCTTTTGGGAACTACGTGCACGAGGCGGTCTCTTCAACCCACGCAACCTCGTCGGCCTGCTGATTCCAAAAGTTGTGGAAAACATGTTGGACGCCAAAGCGGAGGTGGATGCTCGTTTGCGTCAAGCAATCAACGACTTTACTGGCCAATTCGTGAATAGGATGACGGCGCCAATCGACACAAAGAACAACAAAAAAGTACCGGCAAACGAAGCAGCTGCACGCACGAGCAAGGTCCGGCAAAACATTGAGCACGAAACACCGTTTCTGCGATCAAAGTTAGAGGAGTACATCACCGATGCGCGTACACGCGAAATGCTTGTCGCAGCCGTCATGGAATCGGTGACACAGACATACGAGGATTGGTACGACACTTCGTATTCTGTTAGCAATCAGAACGGTGCTGGCCGGAGCCATAAAGGCAAAGGCAGGGAAGATGGTGTCTGGGATCCTGATTCATTCAGCGAGTGGTGCAGTAATGTTTTCAAAGTCGGCACGCTGGGTCTGGGCATTGTGGATCACGAACACGACTATGACAACGGAAACGATAGTAGCGACGCTGACAGTCTGGGCGGTACGAGTGCACGCACAGGCACGGAGAGGACGGGTACTACGGGGTTGAGAATCAAGATGTAAGATGTAATGGGAGGAGGTAGAGATTTAGATGCTGGTAAAAAAAAGATCAAGCCAGCTCAGGAGAGCTTGAGCAACAAAAATGTGACTACCATATTACAGGTCTGAAAACCACCAATACCTCTTTGCCTTGCTGCAAATCCAATTCTTCTTCCTTTTTTACAATGTCTGGTGTATGTACCTTTTCTTTTTCCTCAACCCGTTGTGAACCAGGCGCATTTGGTCGTTTCGTCTGCTTTTCCTTTTCCTTTTCCTCTTCCTCTTCCTTCTCCTTTTGCGCCTGCCATACTTTCCGACGCCGACATGCATTTCTCGCGCGCCGCTCAATCGCGTCGCTATCTTCGCTGGACTACTGGGTCGATTAGCTTGAGTACAGGGAGGACGGCTACTCTTCATTATCGATCTCAATGACCTGGAAGAAGAATGAAAGACAACTTACAGAACTCGTATACGCAGAATATGCATCGCTGAATTCAGAATCGTGAAATGAGGATGTACTTGACAGCAAGGAGGCGTGCTTGGAATACTGCATGTGACTTGCATCTTCGTCATCGGAGGCGGTAGTACTTGTTTCGGACGCTGGACTTGATGTCGCTGAACGCGAGAAGAAAGAAGTTACTTTCTCCCTCCGGTTCCCTCGTATACTTCCCCTTCGCCTGCCATTTCCCCGCATCCCGTCCTTCCTAGCTTCGGTCTCGAGTCTCCTTCTCGTCTGCTCGTTTAGCTCGCGCATCTTCCGGGGTAACACGTCTGAGGCCCTGTGCTCCTTTTGCAGAGGCGTTTGTACACTGCTTTTTTGAGTCGCGGTTGAGATTCCAGTTGTGAGGTGGGGTTCGTGAGTAAAGGTATCGTGGGCACAGCGGGCTTCGGAGTCGGCTTTGAGCTGCTGTAGTGTGTTGAGTACGGAGGCCATGTGGGTTTGGGCGGTAGTGTAGGCGGGGCCGTGGAGATTGGAGAGGGAGAGCTGGAAGGCCATGTATGGGCCGAGGAGGCCAAGGTATGGTGGGAAAGGTGGGGTTGGGTGTAGGTTGGATTGGAGGCTGTGGTGAGGCGGTTGGGTTATGATGGAGCCTGAGTGAGAAGCGTGGGGCCTGGTTTCGCTGGGCTTAGTCGTGGATCTAGTGTTGTTGGCTGTGCAAATAGGGGGGCGGATCTTGAGCTTTTTTGCTGTCGTGGATGTGGATTGGTTGCGTAGTGTACGTTTCTTTGAAGATAGTCGTGTTACTCTTCTTTCTGGCTCGTCGTCTTCCTCTTTTTGCTTTATGCTCATCCTGCCCTTCTCTCGACCATCCTCACCAATGCTGCGCTCTTTTTCTATGAACCAGTTAGCACTTCTTGAATAATATACTGTTCAGTTTTGAACGAATTTTTTTGTTTTGTCTGGCATTAACTCTCGTAACTTACTGCTCGATGTCAGATTCCGTCGCTTAGGTCGAAGAATTCGTGTATATGGTGTGCTCTTCTGATATTCATCATCTACAACGGAAGAACAAGGAAAAGCCAGTGCATCTACTGTTGATTCTTGCCTCGCCAACGTCTTCCTCGATACACGGGAAGGCGGCATAGAGCGTGATGCGACGAGTCTAGTGCGAACCATGATTAAAAAACAAAAAAGTTGCTGCAGAAACTGGAAAGGAAAGGACAATCAAGTATGGATGGCTAAAATCGAGGTTGACAGTGAGATGAAAGGAGGGTGAAGTCTAATATGGGTAGCTGCTATCCTCATGGTCAGAAAATAGACATGTTTTACAATTTAGATACATTCAAAGAACGTGAGTTGGCTTGTCGGTGAGAGCAAACTCGATGTTTGTCTTAGATTTGGAGCTTGTAGCTACTGGCATGTTTGCATGGTGGGGAGATAATTTACTATTCTGTAAGCAAGCAAAGAAGATGACCTTGAAGCGCAAAATTCTGTAGACGACATCTTTGTTATTCAGCATAAAACCATGCTGCATCTGGGCTGAGTAGCGGAAGCGACTCATATGGAAGCTACACACTGTGCTAACATTCGACAGTAATAAAAAACCAGCAAAAGCTATACTGCGTGAATTTCTCTTAGCCACACGTTTGTGTGAAACTTTCCTGTAACATATAGGGACGGGTGTGGTTGGTTTGTCCGTTTGCCTACCTGCATACACTGTGTCTCACCATATTTCAGGACTTTAGTATGAGACCACTAGCCTGACAATCTTAAGAATGGTAAAGCTTCATAGATAGCTAAGACAACTACCTAGGTGTAAGATGATTTGGTGTTCTAGTCGCATCCCATAAAGCTAGTATGAGAACGCGGCGCAACCCCATCGCGTTAGTAGCGCTGCGCTAGCGTTATAGCATCATGGCACTGATATATCTGCAGTGAGACAAAATTAATGGTACGGGTGAATATCTATTCTTCTTAATTCCTCGCTGCTACAATGTCTTCCCGAAGAACCAGACACAAAAACATGCAAAGATGACTTCAGTCTGGAAGATGTTAGATTCAATTTAGAGGGAATTCAGATTCAATTGTTGCATCAGGTCAACTCTATTTACATTCTAATGGCCACAAACGATTGAACCAAACTCATTCTTAGTTGCCTCCCACCATGCGGCCTCCACAGCCCCTGGACTGCAAGTGTTCGAAGTCGTGAATGTCCATTCCAGGAACCCGTTCTCACCTCCGCAAAAAGCATTAGAGATGGGGCAGTCTCCCTGGAAACTCTTCATGTTGTCCCATAGGCCGCCGCACCAGCCAGGAATTTCATAGACGCCGGTGGCCGTAACGCGCCATTTGTGTACCCATCCGCCCTCATACGCGCAGTTGGCACCGGCGAGTGCGCTGGATGCCAGTCCCATGACGAGAACAGCCTGGCTGACGATGTTGTTCAACTTCATGGTGTATTTGATCTTTGGGATGGGAGTGGCAAAGAGTGTGGACTTGATAAGGTATATGTCTGTGTTGCAATGGATAGGTTGCCCTTGCCTTTGAGAAATGGAAGGAGTTGAGGAAGTAGTCGTAGTGAGAGATGTTGTGATTCAAGCAACTCAATGGAGGCTCAGAAATATATACACGAGGCCAAGGCAGTGTAGCTTGTCATATCTATGAACAGCTGAGATATGAATTGGTAGTATTTCTTGGCTTTGCCCTGGTACTGTTCCGTTTTCTCCAATGATCACAGTATATCAAAGACGACCTTGATCGGGATATACACATGCGGAAACTCCTGGAGCGATCGATTGCCCGCCTCATCTCTCTGCCAAGAACGTCACGCAAGCTAATTGAAGTGGGTTGTTTTGGTGAGGGCCGGAACGTAAATGCTCCATCCTGCCATCCTGAAACAGTGTTCTACTCTGCCGGTCGCTCATACTCATAGTAGATCAGCAGCTGGGCACTTCTCATTTCGCCCGCAGTCGCTTCAAAATTCCACATTTAGAATGATCGTGCTGAACAGCGGATCTGAGATGCCTTGGCGATTGGGGGCCCGATGCGACGGTGTGATGGGCAGCCATAGCCAGAACACCAAGAATCCAGGATCTGAGATGGTGGAAACTATTCCGTGGCGTCTGATGGGGCTCAAGAAGGGTTAAGGCGTCCATAAGGCTTCCATATGTTCTTGTCAACATTGGCATGCCATGGATTGAGGTTGCCAGTGACATGCGCGACTACTCGGACGCTATACGCTTTGGAGCTTTATCGGCCTTATAGCCCTCCTCCCCGCCCTCAACTCCGCCCCCGTGTTCTCCCCATGCATGTTGCGATTGGACGACTTGGTATTTTACTAGGATTTCAACATGACCTTGGCATTGCCCTGCATCAGTTTCTCTGCAGGGGCATTGTGCAAGCCTACCATGAACGTCATGCCAGCAACTTGTTCTATCAAGCTGGGCAAGTGGCAAAGCTGCTACCCAACATGGGAACTCCGACAGCACATCACGACTTCTTCAGAGTAAGGTGGGTTTGGTCTCTATTTTTGACGGATAGGGGGTTGGGCCAAGTTCATTCTCAACCGGGCATCTATAAAGTCGCTGCATTCTCTCGCACATTTTCAGTTCATCTCACTCTTGTCAAACAGTCAGAATACATACATTATTACGCTTCAGCCCTTTCACCCACACAATCAATCTTACTCTTCTTTCGGCTTCATCTCTTCACCTCAAGATGCAGCTATCAAAGGCGTTTGCCCTCGGCGTTCTAATTTCCACGGCTTCAGCTGCTACCTGCAGCAAGGATGGCGGCGCCGCTACTCACTGGAAGATTCGCGCTTCCGGTGTAAATGATATTCCAGGCTTGTGTGGTGGCCTGTGGGACAACTTGAACCACTAGGGTGGTTTGTGCAACCCTTCATATCCGTATTGCAACGGGAAGGATGGTGAATTGATTTGGAACTTTACAACTGGCACTGCTTGCAACCCAGGCCATATTGAATCAGTTTGGTATGCTTCATCCTACTTTTGACGCTGGCCCGCTTTTACTAACTTGACTGGCAGGTGGGAGGCAACTAAGAACGAATTCGGTTCTATTACATGTTAGTGCGCTTGATATGACGCCTCAAGGGTTGGAGGCTTAAACAGGTGTCACACATGAGAATAATGGAGCATAGGCGAACTTCAGGTTCATTGGCAAGGAGAGAATCTTTCTTGTTACCTATAAAACGACATTACTGTACCTAGAGTCTGCAATTGTATTGAGATAATGTCAAAAAATCTGACCAAAGGCGTCTAGCCTACTACACACCGACCCGTGCTAGCTGCTTTCCTATCAGTGTTATGCACTGGCCTTAGAGCAAAATTCCAATAACCGTTGTGAAGACTAATCAGAATCTGAAAATTAAGCAAAGGTTTTTGTAGTACAGTCTCTTTTCTCGCCTCTGCGTTTCTATTCGCCCCGAACTTTTTCATTCACGCTTTCGCCTATACCCCAAGTTTAAACACAGCCAAACTCTCTCATCATGAGGCAAATTATGCAGTAGCAATCATGACAGTCTTGAAACTTATCCATTTAGACTGAAACTTGTGAAGATGTTTCTCAAGTTCGTTGTCGTATAATAAACCTTAGGCTACCTATAGAAGGAAGGAATAAGAATAAAACATGAAAAGTGGCTAGGGGCTGTATAAAATGTGCAACAATAGCGGTGGTCGTGACTAGTCGCAGTATTTTTACTGAATGGTCACGGTCAATTGCTATTTACACTTTGAAGAAAAGTTCAAGAGGAAGCTTAGCATAGCACCATTGTATCAGATAGGAATGAGAGCTTAGAAACGATCAGGCCTTGTTCCCCCAAATATCTGCGAAAGGATCCCACTTATCGTCCACATGTCTATCATACTCCATCACATTCGCGACATGCTTAGCCGTTTCGCTCCCATACAACTTATCAATAAAAGCGAATGTTACATCAATTCCCGCTGAAACACCCGAGGAACTCCACACGGGCGTGACTCCCTCAGTATCATCGACGACCCAATTCACTTTGGGCCCGAGCGCCACCGTGGAGTCCCAGGTAGCTTTGTTCGTTGTAGCGCGCCGATTGTCTAGGAGCCCCATGCCTGCAAGAATAGCAGAGCCAGTGCATATAGTAATCACATACTGTACCGTGGGGAAGACGCTACGGATATATGATTCGACTGGAGCCATTGCATTTCTATTGTGAGTCCCGAATCCTAAATTGACGTGTTAGACTGAACCCTGACTCTGCAACATTTCTGTTGGTCTTTTAGCTCTATTCACGACACTAACCTCCAGGAATGAGCAGAACCTCGATCTCAGTCGCATTTTCAAAGGTGTGCGTCGGCACAATATCCTGTCCAAAGCCCATCGAAATGAACGGATTTGGCTTTGGGTTTGTGGATACTGGTGCCTTTGATTCTGCTAAGATGGAAAGTTCCATCGTATGGGTTCGGGAGAGCACATTCAATGCGCTCAAAGGCCCGAAAACATCTGTTACGAATGAGCTTATGCTTGACACAACACTTATCCAGTCTTGGTCCGAATAATAATGGTCAAAGATTTGACTTGCCCAGAGCCTGAAATCCGGTGAACACGATCATGCCGTATCGGGTAGGTTGGTTGCTATTGTGATACGTGAGAATCAGAGCATACAGAGGTATGGGACTATAAATCAGGATGAGGATACCTCATTCTAACTGACGACCACCGCGAGTGATCTAGTGTGGCCTGATATCTACGTGGACTTTGAATTCCTCTCAGGTATGCCCTCGATATCGCTTGCATTAAGTTCGAGAAAAAGTCGATGTTCAGATGCGGGATGGGGTCGCTATATGAGATCAATAAGTAGCGGATAATACTCATCCAACGAACAGCAACAGCTTTATATGTATGTGTCTAGATCCATCGGTCATTAAAACGCCAAGTCCGGCCGGTTTCGGAATGCCCAGCCAATGGCGCTTGCCGCGTCTCTGTGATTACGCTATGCATCTAGAAATAATCCATGCTTTGAAAGTACTTTAACCGACGGTGAGACACTTGATAGCACCAAGGCAGTCTGAGGTGTGTACTAATTACCCAAACCTAGGCTACTATCGTTCTAAGCTATTAAAGTTGATCGGAGCAGGAAATCTCTCTGAAAATACATGGCTGCATCACATGTACCAGTGCAAAGGTCAAAGGCTTAATGCCATAACATCCCCTTGACATGATAGAAGTGCTTGACAACTTGCTGGTCTTCGCCATCTACGCGCAAAAGACCTCCAACAGCAAGCAAAGTGCGAGCAACGAGATAATTAACACTCAATGCCGGACTAAACGACATAGCCCTTGTTCTGCTTGACACCCTTGATATTCATGTTCTTCCACACCAGCGTGGAGGCTAAGCCCAAAGCCCAGAAGCAAACACTAGTGATCAACAACAACCGCCAAGTATCACCATATGCGTGCTGGATGGCCAAACGGACGGGTGAGTCCCACTCATAGGCCAACTGCTCTCCAATGGAACTGAAAATCGTAGTGAGGTTTCCTCGAGCCTCTGGAGGAAGATGCAAAACCAGCTTCTCGGGAAGTGTGCTTTGCCAAATTGCAGAGGAAATTGTAAATCCGACTGCGCTGCCAATATAAGTGAATAGGTTCAGCAGAGCAATGGTGATGGCGAAGTATTGCTGTGCACTAGCAGCAGCTAAGATACCGATCTCGACAGTGATCATGAAAATGCCGAAGCCAAAGTTGAGGAAGATGTTGCACATGGCAATGTAGCCCAAGTAGAGGGTGGGTTCGCGGAAATGGATAAGCAGGCCTGTTCCAAGGGCGATCAGGGGGATGGCGACGTATAAGCTGATTGGCTTGTAGCGTCCAGTGAATGTGATGACGAGGCCTGTTACGATGTTTGCGATGATTTGGACGACTGTGCCGGACTGTACAATATAGCTTGCATTAGTAACGTCCAGGCCGTTAACCACTTGGAGGTAAGAGCTAAAGTACGGGTTCCAGACTGAATAGCTCGCAAAAAGTGTGAAGCCTGCCATGCCGGTGCCAAGGACTGTGCGATCTCGAAGGATTTCCCATGGGGTGAGACTGATTGGCGCGAAGAATCTCTCCCAGCAAACAAATGCAGCGATGAACAAGATTCCGAAGACGAGGAAACAGATGATCATAGCAGATCCCCAACCCTTCGCTTCCATGGTGTATAGATTGAAAGGCAGGAGGAAGAAAGCGAACCCAACGGATAACAGCAGGAGTCCAACAAGGTCAAATTGACGCGCACAATACACGGTTGCTTGCCATAATGTACGTCCACTCGCTGGTCGCGCCGGAACAATGCCATCTCTTTTGGCCTTCCTGTAGTGGTACATGAACAAGCCGAAGAGAGGTAAAGCGACACAAGGAAGTAGAATACTTTCCATTCCGAAAGCCCAGCGCCAGCCACTGCCGTTCAAGAACGAAGTGGAAATAGGACCTGCTAGCCAGGATGTGATGATGTACGGGGAATTGAGCAAGGCTTGCATGAGACCTCGACGGCGGAGGGAAGATGTATCTGCAATGAAGACACTGAGGCAGTATCCGAGACCATTGATTCCGACAGTGTAAAAGACCTGAGATGCAGCATATGCTTCCACGCCATTGCAGCCAGCAGCCATGATAAGACCGATGGTAGCAATGCTCACACAGAGTAGGAATCCATGAGGCCGACCAAAGATGTCCAGGATTTTGGCGATGCAAAGATTTGAGACGCCGCCAATCACCTGGCTCAAGACACCGGTGGTTGGGATCAATGAATGAGCGGCGAAGCTAGATGTGACGTAGGGGATTAAGGCGTTGCTGACGCCAACGACAATGCCCTGGACAAAATAGACGAACCAAATGCAGACGTAGGCTCCGATCAGAGGTCGGAATGACCACGCAATTGTGATGGCCTCGGCCTTTTGCACGCCCGCTTAGAAATTGGCATCGACAGTTTCGTCGTTGGCCGCGTTGCCCTGGACTATGCCGACGCTGTGTTTGAGCTCCGAGTTTGTGTCTTTGTCCATATCCAGGGCGGCGCTGATTTCCTTGGTGTCAACGGCGATTGCTGCAGGGGGAGTTTTGGATGCCACGAACGATTTTTGAGCTACCATGTCTGTATAATTGTCTTTTCCTCCTTTCGTCAAAGCCGGTTCGTTGTTGCCACCGCTCCAGAAACGAAGAAACCGCTCTATGCGAGGTGAACAGAGGAGGAAGTAAATGTAAAGTAGAGTAACGAGATAATGAGCATTTGATTCGGCAAAGCAACATATATTTGGATGTAGCAGCGTTAAACGCTGGAATCAATCGCGTATGGATCCAGTAAAGACAAAGGGACGAAGGCGTCGCATCGAAAGAATGCCATTGGTGACAGACTGCTACACATAGCCTAAAGCGCATTCTCGAGCGACCCGCAAGTGAGAAGTTTCGCTACCGCGAAGCGCAGATCAGGCGAGCCTTGCATATTGAGAAAACCACCTCGAATTTGCTCAACGCCTGGCACCTGGTGGGAACGCCACACTTCCCCCATGCCGCATACTTCAGGGATGCTTTCCCCCGGCGCCGTTCCGCTCGCTGGCCACATGCTGATGTGAGACTCGCCATGCTCAGTATTCGAGCTAGCCAGACTCCAAAGCCCCCTCACAAGCAATTCTCTTATCGCGCTCACGGATAGCTCAGACGCTTGCATTTCCCTCGCCTGCATGATAATATTTCTGATAGTTTCATTGCTCCTCGTCGGCGATATGAGAACAAAGAGAATGACTGGCAGCCGAAAGTCTAGAGTGCATATTTGAGCATGTTTTATATGATTTCAAACTCAGTTATGTACTATCAGTGGTAAATGGGAAAGGAACTGCGGCGCAGCTCCAAGCGTCGCCTCCTAGGGGCCCATGATCACATCACTTCACCATCAATATCACAGCCCATGTCTCTTTTCCCATCAACTCTGTGCTCGAGATCAATTGCAGAGAATTCACCATTTCGCATTTCTTCTCCTTTTCAAGATACTTCTGCCTCTTCAACCTGTACACTGTCCACCTTTGTTTGCTCCATTTTTGCCTTCTCAGCATCAGTAGTCACTTCAGCATCCTGAGCCTGTTCGAAGTCTTCCTTGTTCTTTGGCTTTGCCTTAATATTCTTCCAGTCGACCCCAAAGGTGCCGATGGCTGCAATACACAGCAAGATCAGTGCACATAAGAACGCCTGTGACAGAGCATCATTGTAGGCGACTCTGATTGACCTCAGTGTATCAGGATCGTCTGATAACGTATTGATCAATGTTGCACCGGTTTTGGCAATGCGAGCCGGATCGATTTGAACAACGTCCCGCAATTTCATTGCAAGCTCGTTGGCCCAAAGATTCTGAGCCACGCTGACAAACAGCGCACCACCAAAATTCTCGGCGAAACAGAGAAGTGCTATGCCGCTGGGTATGTCGACGTCCTTCGAGCATGCTTGAACTGCCACTATGGCTTGTTGGATACCAAGTCCAACACCCACGCCAAACAGGATCTGGTATCCAATCAATCTGCTCATTGAAGTATCAACGTCCCACGTGTAGATCAGTCCCGCGCCAGCTGCTCCCAACGTGATAGGAGTGAACATGAACGGGTTGTACCAGTCGGTTTTGCTAACAAGGAAGCCGCCACTCATGATGCTCAAGATGAGGCTGACCATGAATGGTAAAATGTCAATTCCGGAGCGTACAGCTGAAGCCCCACGAATCGCTTGAAACCAGATAGGGATGAAATATGCCATGACGAAGAAAGAGGCGCTGACGCAAAGGGAGTAAAGAGCAGCGCACATGGTGTGCCGCGAAGTCACAGCCTTTTTGTTCAAGGTGGCGTTGTCGCCCATGAACGGCTGTACTGCTCCGAAGCCGAGAAGGAGAGTAGCAAAAACCACCAACAGGGCGATGATCCTGCCATCACTCCATGGGTAAGTCGTCCCGCCCCATTGAAGTGCCAGCAGAAGACATATGATTGACGGAGCGAATAACACCGTGCCGATGGGATCGAACCGGAGGACGTTCTCCTTCCATGTCTTCTTCGGTTTTGGTGATGAGGGCGGGAACTGGAGGCAAAAGATCAGGGTGATGACCGTAATAACGCCAAGTGGCAAATTGATGTAGAAGCACCATCTCCAAGTGGCGTGGTCAGTCAACGCGCCTCCCAGCAATGGTCCCACTATGCTCGCCACGCCGTAGACGGCAGTAATCAGTCCGATGAACATGCCACGTCTTTCGAGTGGTAAAACTGTCGATATCGTCGTGAGTGCGCCGGTGAATATTCCAGAGGCGCCCAATCCGGAAACAGCGCGCCCAGCGATGAAGGTAGCCGAGTCTGGAGCGACTGCTGAAATCAAAGACCCAGCCTCAAACAGAAAAACGCAGGCGATGAAGAGCCATTTCATGTTCAAGAAGCTGTACAGTCTTCCAAAGAATAGCTGAAATCCTGAGACGAATAAGAGGTATGCAGAACCATACCATCCCACATCACTCAAGGAGCCGAATTGATCTGTGATCCTAGGTATGGCAGTGGTGATGATGGTGTTGTCGACCGCAATACAGAAATTCGTCAGTTGAAGGCTGAGGACGATCATCGCCAACTTAAGGCCCGTCGCATATTGTGCTTTGTCGTCTCCGCCGGCCTTCAATTCTGGACTTTGGCTCCCATGGGTGGAAGTTTCACTTTCAGTCGACTCTATGGTTTACTCAGTTCTAGTCTCGTTCTGATCCGCGTCGGGGGACATACCGTCAACATAGCTGGAAGACTTGGAGAAGGCCCTCTCTCCAATTTGTTCACAAACATCAATTGTTGGAGTCTCCTTCATGGTCGAGTTGGCAGACATGAATATTTTTGGAGGCTCTGTCACCGGACTCTGGCGCAGCCCGTCCAGGAGTTTGGAATGATTTTGCAAGTTTGTCACTCTTCAAGTGCCCTAAAAGCCCAGGTAATGTGTCTCTGGATTTCAGTCATGGAAAAGTGTAAACTACGGCTACACGGCTTTAGCACAGCAAAAATCGACCCCCTGCTGCATGAACTCATGATCACTAGCTGTCTCTTAGATCCCACTTAGAAGGTCCAGGCTTCCTCAACAAAAGCGCCATCTTTTTCCCATTCAGTCTTGCCCTAAGACGCGGGTGACGACATGGGATGCCTGGCAACACGTGTCAAGAACGTGCTCTTATCTTGGAGTTCAGCCTTCATCGGAAAAGTCCCAAAGGAAGAATCCCATCCTCGGGTAGCTAGACTCTGTACAGTTATGATACTATCAGTCCTAGGTAGCTTTTGCTGTGCATATCTTCGGATTCATCGATCACTGGTCTACTAATGAGCAAGATTGCGCCGATTGCGTCCTTGGGTCGGCAGCCAAACCTTCTGTCTATGTAAGACAATAGAAAGAGGCTTTCAATCATAAGCGCTAAAGATGAGCAAAGGAAAAGCAAAGAACTACATGCGGAACGAGTGCGATGTGACATCTGATACGGGGTGCAGATCTCACGCACGGGACAGGGAGTGTTGGTGCGGCATGTGCAACCAGGTAGACGGATCCATACCGAACTTTAACATGTGCAAGCTCTCGGAAAGGCCAAGAAGTGAGGAAATTTGTCAGATTCACGGAGTCTTAGTCCAAGTAAGCCTCAAATGATTTTGAGGTGGTACTCAAGTAATGGGCAAGAGATAGAAAAAAATACAACACCACTGCATGTGATAATAACGTAATGTGACATTGGATACAGACTGCAGATTTGGTGCTATAGAGGATCTAAGCGAGATATTTGGAACCTGGTATACGGTTCACTTGTTACACGACATTATGCGAACACCACCGGGGAGATGGTGCAAGATAGATTGGATCGGGACACGGAGTGTGAGCACCGTGAGCAGTCATGCATCAAGGACGATATGAGCTCAAAAGAGGGGGTTTGAGTTTACAGAGAAAAGGATATCCAAACACGGATACACAGATGACCAAAGTCTGGTTGTAATGAAAGTTGTGCAACTAGAACTAGCCCTGTGTACACACCGCTTACCAACCCGTCCCACGCCTGACATCCAGAAGTCTCGCATATCTCGTGAAGTATTCATCCTGCTGCAGCATCTTCAGCTCCTCCGGTAGGGTGCCCAGCTCGAGCTCCACACCGCCATCCGCCCTCAGTGGGTGGATGAGCGAGAATCGGAAGCGCCTGTGCCCGCGCTCAATCTGTGGACGCACGGCTTCTGGCCTGCCTCCAGAAAAGATACTTTTACCAAATGAGGAAAGATTGTCTTCCTGTTCCCAGAGAATCATGTTGGAAATCATCTTGTTCATGTGCTCAAGGCCCATATTCGCAGTCGCTGGCTTGGTGTAGTCTGTCATAGAACGTAACAGAGTGTACGCGTCATGTACAAGAGCAGTGTTGACTTTTGCGATCGTTTTGCGAATCAGAGAAGCAACTTTGGCAAGACTGGTGTTTGGCGAGCACAATTCTTCCACGGGCATCATCGTACGACTCATGATGAGCATGCTACCCATATAAGTGGACGGCAGATGACCCGAAAAATAGAGCCTCCCGTCGATCGGAATCTCGAGAATGGACATCTCTTCTGGACCAAAAGTTTGTCCACGGTGTTCTTTGGCCACGAGATATCTTGCTCTGATGGCCGTTTGCCACAGAAATGCCTGGACGATGTCGCTGATGGAAGTGGTCTGGCCTTTGACTTCAGGATGTCGATTGACATCGTCTTTGAGCTTTTGCAAATTCTCGCGGGAGAGCAAGAAGAATGTACTGGACAAGGAACGATCTGAAGGAGCAGTTGGCCACTGAGGCTGCCGTCGATACACTGGTCTTAGATCTTCTGGTGAGGTACCCTTGACGATTGCCTTGTTCTTTGTTTGTCGTTCTTCAGCATTATAATCCGGTGGGAAGAAAGGCAAGAAGTCCCACATAGTGTTATCGACTTGATGTGCAGCCTTCATGTGTCCTTCTTGTTGGTAAAGAATCTCGGGCAGGTTGTGGTTGAAACTTTGCGGAGCATACCAGCCGCATGTTGCTGTTTGATCTCCCTGCACGTACCTACAGCACTCTGCCCAGACTTTTAGAGCTATCGTGGCGCCCAGACCGTCCATGCAAGTGTGCATGAAGTTTGTGGCCAAAATGCATCCGCCCTCAACAAAGTTCGCATGAGCAACCATCACGTCAGCGGGCATGCTAGGGAAAGGATAGCAATCGAGAACGACTTTGTCTTCGTAGAGCGAAGGTGCGAAGTTGCTGTCTCGCATCACCGAATAAGATGGAAGGGCCTTTGTCATATCCTTATAGACTAGCTGTCTGGGATTGGACTTGGTCGCCATTGACAAAGGTGGTATCGTGATGGCATATTCGCCTTTCTTGTAGCCGAATTCGTGCTCCGAAGCGTGCATCATCTTGCCGTCAAGCTCTGGAATGATCTGGAAAGCACGACACAAACCAGCTTGCAGGCGCTCAAATGTTTGTTCAAAGCTCGAATCAGGAGGTAAAGCAAAGAAGAGCGTGAAGCCCATATAATGATTAGGGTTCACTGCATCGAATGGATTCATCTTGAACCCTGTCCGTCGCTGGTACTCGTTTATCGCATCCTGAAGTCCATTAATGGGTTTCTCGATTAACATGTCCGATCCTTGGTCTTCAGATCCGTTGACTTGGCCATTGGAATTTTCATGGGAGATTCCCTTTGTCTTCGGTTCTGCTTGTTGCTGTAGTACCTTCCCAAGGTGTACTAAGAATTTGGCGAGCGTTGGATTTGCATATAGATGCCTTGGAGCAATCTGCTCTTGTAGCCCTGTACATCCTCGAATGATCCGGATAACTTGGAACACAAGAAGGGAATCCAGACCCATCTCGAAGACATCTTCATCCATACTGGCGTCCTCGAATTCGATCATTACCGATGCCATGATGTTTCGGACAGACTGCAAGATAGTCTCTTCTGAAGTTGTATCAATTGTAAACTCATAGTGAGCATCGGCTGATACCACATCTCTTGTAGCGTAGAAACGATCGATGAAATCTGCGTAGAGGTCCAGAGTTGCTCGACGCTTGATTGTTGACTTGTCCGTGCGGATGAAGGGTTTGTCTGGCTCTGCAAAGGCAACATAATCCCTTTGAAACCTGATCTTTTGGAAACCAGATGAGTTCGCTCGTTCCACTTTCTCCCAGATGCTGTCGAATAATTCGTTGTTTCTGGCCAAAGGGTCCTTTAGTTCGATGAGGAGTCCAGCCTGCGGCTTTGCTTGTCCAATGACAAGGCAACCCTCGACTGCAGGATGTGTTGTAATCAAAGCCTCTGCCTCTAAAGGCGCGACCTTGTATCCGTTGGACAGCACAACAGCATCGTCGCTTCTACCGGTGTATGCGTATAGATATGGCTTTGTGGGATGCCGTTTGTAGAGATCTTTGAGATTGACCGATTGTTGATCCGGAAACGTGTAGAAAACACCTTGAAACAAGTCCCATTGAGGGTTTCGATGAACCCAGTGTTCGTAGACGCCTGGTTCAATTTCCTTGAATTCAAATCCCGCGAGGGGATGAAACGCGAACCAATGCCAATCCTCTCGTGTTGGCCATAATACTCCCATAAATAAACCCTCTGTGGTCCCTGTCAGATTGAGCACTCTGACGACATCGTTCACTTTCGCGACAATGCTGGGGCTGACAGGACCTTTATTCGCGGATCAAGTTAGCGTTATCATCAATCTTTTCACATCTTGTGCTGCTTACCACCAGAGACACAAACGAATTTGGCCTTTGTAAATTTTGCCAGAACTGCTGGAGTCTCGCCTAGTTCATCCGCAAGTGATGGAACCAGATGCCAAATGTCAATCTTGGCATGAGCCAGCAAATCATCGATCAGCGACATATTGGGAAGGACTCCTGGTGGACCTAGAACGCAATGAAGCTTGAAGAATGCTGGTACAACAATGTCCATGAGCATACCAGCACCCTGGGAGTCCAAAAGTTAGCGTTCAATCTAGTCTCCATATTCTAGCAGGAACTCCTAAGGTGATAAAAAGACGTTTTGCTCACATGACTCATGGGGAATGAAGAGTAAATTGTGTCTCCTTCATTCCAATTGTCTGTCCAAGGTTTGAAACCTTGATCCCCATCAGTTGGCGGTAGCAGGCGAACGGCGTCCAAGGAACCTATTAGTCCATGAGTCCATGATATTGGCTTCGGAACTCCCGTGGTGCCAGATGTATGTGTGATACAGAACGGCTCGTGTACCGCTTCTTCGAAGGTCTTCGTAAATGGAAACGGTTCCGTAGTCTCGGCATCGAGAAGCTCTTCCAATGGTGGTAGCTCGATAATCGTCATGGGCTTTTGCTTTGTAAATTCTTCAACTAGAGGAATTGCTGCTTGTCCGTGAGGCCTGATCCAGACGTCGCATTTGGCGGCGTTGAGAACCGCTAGAGCACCCTCAACATTGTTCTTCGGGGACAAAAATAATGCCTGTTAAGAGATATCCCAATTAGAAATCTATCTTTTCAGATTGACCTGCTACGCAACATACCCCGCAGTTGGCCTTGATGGAGCCATAAATCAACAAAATGTGTCGCAAATCATCTATAGCTTGGATTAGCGACACCATTTGCGCTCCATATTACTAGTTCAGCTTACGAGGGCCGATATAGCCTATCGGTAAGATTCCCTTCCTGGATGTATCCTGGTGTTCGTCATTGCCGTTCTCTTGAGCTTCGTTGTGTCCCTTGAGTTGGTTATGCAGGAACCAAGCAGTTTTGTCCACTGCTTTCGCAAATGCACCAGCAGTAATCGTTTTGAAATGAGCATCATGATCCGGAAATGAGGCTAACGAATAGATGACGCGATCAGGCTCCGAACGAGCCAGGCTATCCAAAATGTGAGGTATCAGCCTCTTGCCATAGGCTTGGGTGTTTTCAATAGCCATTGCGATAGGATTCGGACAGAATATGCGTGAAATTAATTTTTTGGTATCCAAAGGGTCGTTTCAATCACTGAATCAGGAAAACGTGATGGAGTTGATAAGAAGAGCTTATCAAGCATGCATTGCCTTCAGCGGGATGTGACTTTCACACCTGCCAATGGCATCAGACTCTTCTCTTCGAAAGCTAGCTCAAGCGCCTGAGTCAGCACAATGGTCAGATCTGACCGCCTCCATCCCGAAACAAGACACACGTGGTGTTCTAATCACGATACCGTCGTCAAAAGCTCGCTACAAGTCAACCATCACAAACCCGCATGATCCACCCCCACTGTTTACTCCAGGAGTGGCTTTGCAAAAGCAAAGTCATACGAGCACGATTTCAGATGCCGTTCATGTCAGAAAACGCCGTAATCCATAGCGCTCGCGCCAACAGGTGGCGCAAGACGAGGGCCGATGCTCTCTGGCGCTAAAATGGATAGAACCATGCACGAAACCGATCAAAAGGAACGTTTACTGGCACATGACGGAAACTTCCTGACAGAATTGTGCTCAGAGGTACTTCGCGCAGGGGGTCAACTCTAACTTTACTTTCACCCGCATCGATACTCAAGCGAAGCGGGGTTTGAGCACATTTCGTTGGAGGAGGTGGCTGACATTTCAGCTGCAACTAGAAAGTATCCAGCCAGACTTATGAAAATTGACCCATATCTATTCAATAAGCTCATCATACACGGTTTTGGGCTGTAATTTATGTTACAGGTTACGTTAGAGCAGAGTACTGCAATCGCATGGCATTTTCGTGATGGGAGTCTTCGATCACTCCCGTTATCGAGGCCTAACTACATAAGGCGTGATAAAGAAAGCGAGTGTTCTGGAAAACATTCTGATCGAATAGGTTATCAAGACTAAGCTCTGAATTCCAAATTTCTCCCCGCATTTTACAGCTATGGAACTTGCCCCAAATATGTTGTTTTCAACCAGCAGCCAAGTGCTGAGCGACAAGTCGTCCCCGGCTCCCTCTGAGAACGAGTTCTCCGATTGCTCGGTCAACAGCTTACTACAATCGGGAAAAGTGTCGAGAATGTTTGGAGACCCAAGCAGCAGCGTACCAGATCCAGAGTTATCTGAGGGGAGAGAGGCTATCAACCTCATGTCAACCAAGATTCTGGAGATCATCTTTGATTATGCCTTGAACAAATTCGATGATTGCCGAAAACGGCTCGAGGCTGGAAGACCCAGGTTCATAGAGGTGCTCAATGGTTTTGTAGGAGCAGGAGCCAAGATCGACATGGCTCTTCCCGCATTTCCCTTCAAATCAGCCAACAAAGTCTACAAGGCTCTGGATTTTTTACCAGACAAAGCTGAGGAGCTTGCCCTGGACCGTTTACACAACATGTGCAGCCGTATCGAGGAGATTTACGAGCCGGGTGCCAAAGTTGTCATTATCTCGGATGGACTAGTCTACAATGGTTTGTTTCACTCCAAATATCTGGAACACGTGCTGACACATATCACCAGATTTACTGAGCATGTCCGACAGACATACTTGGCTGTATGGACAGGCCTTGCGAGCAATGGCTATTGAGAAAGGGTTCACCAACGTTGTGTTCTCTAGACTACGAAACTTTGTTCCTCCCGATTCAGATTTCAAACTACCAGACACATTGGACGAGATCTCTTACGTGGCCAATGCCACGAACTTCCGTCGTTTTATCCTCAATAACTTTGGCAAAGATGACTTGGATGTGGATTACCTCATCGCTGTTGATGAAGATACCCGACTGACGTATCAGGGATATCGAAGATTCTTGATGTCTGATTTGAGGCACATTTTCACGCTTGGAGACGATCGGACCGGTAAAGCGTACAAGAGAGAGACAAAGTATCTGGCCAAGCAGATGCTTGCTCGAGGATATGTAAGTGAACAGAGCATGAAAAATTTGGAAAAGTGGATCACTAACGACATCATTGCTACAGGCTTTCGCCGGAGCAATCAAGCACAACTTTCCGCATCATTTGCGGCTCTCTATTCATCAGTCCACCGGCGAGCACAAAGTCTCGATGAGCTTGCTAAACACAAAAACCGGGTTCACAACGCCTTGGCATTGCAGTGTTGCTCTGATGGCCGATGGAGAATGGGTCAGCGCTCCGATGGGCGATTTCAAAAAAAATCCCAGGATGAAGATCGTTGAAGAATATGGCCGTCCAAGCTACTTCAGGGAGATGACAGAGGAGGAGTTCCTTGAAGAACGAAAACGAGCAGAGGAAGCGGCACGGCAGACTGGGGTGCCCGAAGTGAAAGAGCCCCAGAAGCAAGAGAGAAATGAAGATTTTGTCCATTGGGAAGGTCTCACTTATGATGTCATGAATGGCGGCAAAACGAAACGACTTCTGGATGAAGTGGATGGATGGCTTAGGGGCGGAACGGTGACGGCATTGATGGTGCGTATTCCTCAATATCAAACATGAAGACCACTTACTGAGTGCCTCTTTCAGGGAACCGGCGGCGCTGGCAAGACTGCCCTTCTCGATGTATTGGCCAATAGGACGAATTCAGATGTCGTTCGTGGTGATATTTTAGTGAATGGCCTGCCTCGGAATATGGCATCCGAGAATGTGTCAGCCATGGTCTGTCAACAAGACCTGCAATTTCCTCCTACGACGGTCAAGGAGTTGTTGATCTTTAGTGCTCTTCTAAGGCAACCAAGCACAACTCCTTGCGTCGAGAAGATTGCCTATGCTGAAGAAGTACTAAACCTTATCGGCATGGAAGCACTTGCCGATGCTACTGTTGGAACGTCCGGAGAGTGTGAGTGATCAATACCGCGGAACTGCGTAGTCGAATACTAATATTTGGACAGATTTAAGCAGCGAACAGCGAAAGCGGTTGTCAATTGGGGTCGAACTTGCTGCCAAACCGACTGCCGTGCTGTTGCTCGACCAGCCACTTGCGGGTAAATATTGTCGCCATCAATTAGAGACACATTCCATTGACTCAGCGCACTCAAATATAGGTCTAGACAGCCAAGCTGCTCTTTCAATATGTCAGCTTTTGCGCCGGCTTGCACAAAATGGCCTGGCCATTCTTTGCGTCGTCCATCAACCTTCTACACGACTTCTCCAGACTTTTGACCGACTGCTCCTTCTCGGGAAAGGGGGAAAGCAGCTATATTTTGGTAAGATTGGTCTTTCATGCAAGACCATGGTCAGTTATTTCGAGCGAAATGGGGCCAGGCATTGCGCTGCAGATGAGAACCCTGCAGAATGGATGCTCGATGTCACTTCTTCAAGCGAAGACTACAGTGAGATCTGGAAAACTTCTCCAGAGCGCAAGGCCATCAAGAGCAAGCTTGCACAGCTAAAGAAGAAATTCTCGGTAAGAGCAGATCTGCTCGATGGCTCCGACAGATCAAATGCGGTTCCGCAAACAACGACAGTGTCAGATGCTTTGGCCCTGCAGCGTACGTCTCAACGATTTCTACTACGCGATCTTCATCTTTGACTAAAAATGATCCAGGGGCTTTCTACAAATATAAATTTCTGGAAAACATGCAACTGCCTGCTACGTCGGTCAAAGATTCCTTCCCCCCTTGGTTCACGAATGGGGCAGTTCTTCCTACACCAGCCTACTTTTTATGAAAAGACAGAAGGCATGGGCATAGCTCCGATCTTGATGTATTCCCCAAACCTCTTCCATTTTAAGCATAGAAAAATTGTGAGAGAGATATGGTGAACATTGTTTCTTATTCCAGTCAAACTGAAGCCGCTTCACTGAGCACCAGCATCTGAATAACCCCTACAAAGACGACTACTCGATTCGCGTAGTCATCATCCTCTTGAACCAATTGTCTTTCGCCGCCTTCGATGCCTGAATGAGCAAGTGGTCCGGGTTGTTAATCAATTCGAAGACATGATACGCTCCAGGCCAGATGTGCAGCTCACAGGTAGATCCACCACGCCACATATTGGTCGCAAATTGTACTGCCTGATCACGCAAAACCTCGCACTCACCAGCGTGACGTAGGTCGGGGGCATATTGGAGTAGTCCTCGGCGCGGGCTGGGGCATGGTAAGGCGTAACTTTGTCGGTGCCACGAATGTTGGGGAGTGCAAGATCCCAACACGCGCGCACCCATGGTGTGCTGGTTGGGTTACCATATTCGTATTGTTGATCTGACAAGGTTTCGCACCGGTCGTCGAGTTGAGGCGCATACAACATCAGACCTTTGATTGGGACGCAAGGAATCTTTCGGTCTCGAGCCATGAGACATACCGCCGTGGCCACTATGCCCCCACCGGAGATACCGAAGAGCACAATCTGAGCCGGATCAATCCCAAGTTTATTGGAATTGTTGGAAAGTCACACAAGCCCAGCATAGCAATCTTCGCTGGGGCCGGGTTGAGGAATCTCGGGTGACAAGCGATACTCAATAGACGCCACCACGCAGTCAATGCCCTCCAAGAGATCGATGATGGGTGTGAGGGCAGTGAACCTATCTCCACTGACAAGTCCACCTCCATGCATATGGTACAAAACGGGCCTTTGAGTACTCGCGGGCTTCTTTGGCGTGAAAACAGATAGGACGAGTGTAGTGTTGTCTGGACCAGGAACTGAATACTCCTCATGGACAAGAAATGGTTTATCTTTGAGAATCGTATTGGCACTGAATTCCGTCTCCTGCGTCTCACCATGCGGACATTGATACTCGTCTTTTGAGACCCCACGCATCAGATCAAGGTCGAACTCCACGGGAATTGTAGTAGCATCGAGCAACTTGGCGAGTTCAGGGTCATACGGTGGACGAGCAATGATCCGTGAATCAAGCTTTGCAGCCTGGCTGAATGGGTCGGGATACTGGGTCATATTGACGCTTGAGAGAAATATGGACCCAATGCAAACTTGATAATCAACTCGAGGGAATAAGACTGTGTGGTTGATGGCGAAAGGATGAAAAGGGTGACTCACGATACCCGTGAACCCTGTGCTGACGGAAGACACGTCGCTAAGGATGTTGATTTACTTTTAGGATACGAAAGCACACTGCAGGAACGAAAGCTCTCTACTGTACAAAGTTAGAGTTACCTATTGACCCGCGTGCACCACGCTAATGTTGATGCTGACATCCGCCACGCTAGTATCCGCGACTACTGCGTACAAGCGACCCACTGTTCTAATCTTTGTGGCTGTGGTTTATTTAGCTCACCTGCATACAGTGACTATCAAAATCGACTTGGCAAATACCAAGTGAGTTCATTTCACGAAAGTAGACGAGAACCAAACAGGACTGCCTACATTGGCTGAAATTTCTGCGGTGAATTAATGGAGTCTGCTCCCCGCATTTACCAACGTTTCAAGCTTCCCTCTGCTCTCATACCCGTGGTTCTGCTTAACATAGCGGCTCTTCACAGCAAGTGCTGCAGACTGAAGACGATCTCTTTCCCTAAACCATCATGGACATCAGTCAACTCAAGAAAATTCGAGCATTGGGTATGTCCCCGAATGATACCACCTACCTTTACATGGCTCATGAATGGTTTTAGGGAAGCTGGAGGAAATGGCAGCGGTGGCACATGCCCTAGATCTGTACATCACCGCAGGCTTCTCCGTGCATTACAAGGCTTCCCAGGCACTAAAGAACCCTGATGTGGAATCGTTGATATATCACGCTGTGCGCCAAGTGCTTATTGAGCTTCCCATGATGTTCGCCGTTCCGATCATCGCCGAGGGCGAGGAAACTTACTTCGCACGCCTGCCGTTCATCGACCTCAGAACAGTCATTTCGTTTGCCCAGCGGCAAAACGCCATAGTAAATGATGGCAAAGGCAGAGATATAGAGCTTGACGTCACGCTGCAACAACAAGTCAATACTAATGTCAAATCTGACCAGGGCATCGTGCCAGTGTGGAGACTGGTCATTCTCTACGACTCGACGGACAAGCAGCAATTCACAGCCAACTTCATGGTCCATCATGCGATAGCCGACGGGGCTTCTTTCCAGATTCTCCATCGAGCATTCCACAAGGCTCTGCACGGTTTGTCTTTGCACTCCGGCATGCCTTCCCAAGTCGAATACATTGCCTCATCCAAAAACGATGATGCAATCGGTCCACCACTGGAGGCCATACATTCTCTGCAGATTGCTGAAGAGGCACCGCAGACTGATGCGCCAAAATATAACGATTGGCTGGGCAATATCACCGAGCTACCTAACAAGACTGGATACGCAACCCTCACTCTCTCGCAATCCATGGTCCAGGCCTTCACACGAGAGTGCAGAAAAAACAAGGTTTCAGCACCTGCGGGGCTCAACGCTCTCATCACCAAGACGCTATACTTATAGTAATCTTCCCCCGACAACCGAGTCCATGGACATCAACATCCCAGTCGACATTCGCTCTGAACTCCCTCCAAAAGCCGTCGACGGCATCATAAGCAACTCCTTCGACGCCTTCCGAACCAGGGTATTCCGCTCTGATTTCTACGGCCAGTATTCTTCCGAGCTAGGCGACATCTGGACTGCAGCCCGCAAGGTCCAGGCTGATACGAGGAGCTACTTCTCGCGTACCCGCGCCTTCTGGAGAAATGTATCTCAATATTGCTGGCTTGAGGAACGTACCCAATCTGCAGGACTTGCTCAAGCCCATGATTGGTGCGCCTCGTAGTGAGTCTCTGGAATTGGCGTATATCGGTCCTCATGTGCCATACACGGACGCGCGTGTGGGTAACAGCCTTTCGTGGCAGGCTGGGAAAGCAACGGTTAGTCGGTCTGCTTTTGCTCTAGGAGCGTGTTTACAAATGACGGTGGTACTGCATGCTGAAGGTATGACAATCGGGTTTGCTTGGCCAAGGGCCGCTGTTGACGAGTGTTTGGTGGAGAAGACTATTGATGGAGTCAGAGATTATTTTGTTTCCATCACAGAGAATCCCAAATAGCAATTCGTGGTGCAATGGAACAATTGGTGTATAATGCGATCTGGCATGCGACAGGTAGATAGTTGCGTGACTGTGAAGTTGCTAGAAGAACTGTATCTCAAATTGACTACGTTGGGCTTTCAGTTAACCAGGGGGTCCAGCATCTAAATTTCAGTAACACATCCGTTAAAACAAGTTTACGATCCATAACGAATCCAGACACACACATACAATTCCAGAAACCGAAGTTGCATCCTGAGTTGATACAGGTTTACACCGACAAGGGCGAACAATTACCAGCCTCACTATCACTCGGTTCCTCCGACTCAAGCTTCAAGTAGCGTTTTGCCAATTTCGATAACTCAGTCGCGGATGGATCTTCCGAAATGTCAAAAACCGTAGGAGTCCACGCCGACTGGATCTCGCCCACTAGCCCCGGATCCTTGTCATACTCTGTTTCCCGGTCCTCCAAGCCCTGTAGAAGCCGTGATTCTTCGGGCCGCAGCTGATTCTTGATGATATGGTATATGGTTCTTACGATGTAGTAGTTGCGGCCTTGTTCGCGCAGGCCTTTGAGGGCGAGGAGGAGGCTCGATCGCGCGTAGTCGAGTTCCTGGTGCGTCATCCGCTCGTGTATACTGTTCAGGGACATGAAGCCAAGTTTGGAAAGCGGGGATGTCAAGTAGAGATGTGCGTCTTCGAAGCCATGCCGGAAATAATATAGTCGGATGAGGACATTGATGTCGCGTTCAGCGTTGGCGATGATGTCCTTGGGTACAAGCCCATTCTCCCACTTATCGTTAGAATAAGGCTGGCAAACGATCATAAGAGTGATTTGGTAGTCGAGGCTGGTTTGGATGTCAATCAAGACGTGTTGATTGGTACAACGCATACTATACTCACTGTATAAGAAAATGTGCTGGCAGTACGATATACTTTGGTAATAGAACGGTAGGAAGGTTTTTATACCATGTTAGTAAGCGGCTTACGAACAACATGGCTTTATCTGTTGGAAGCTTTGAGGCCGTGCTAAATGATGCATGGCACAACTCGCTGAGGATGACTCTAAATTCGGACGTAGCCTTGAAGATATGCCCGTAATACGTTGGTGACAGTGTTGGGCTGAGAGGATATCTGGTCCAGATCTCGCTGTACCAGACTGCATTCGTGGATGGATCAGGAAGTTCATAGCTTGGGGGTTTGGTCAGGAAAGGGGGGCGGAGGAACTGCCAGGCCAAATGGCTGACGCTCTAGTATCAGTTCTGTGATATATTATTGGAATTGAGACGTAAACTTCATACCTATCGATATTGAAGAGACACCATGCGGTAAAATTACGGGCGTTGCGTACCCGCTCCGATTTGACGTCTGCGTTTCCATCGAATAGTCGCAAATCTAGGGCTATGGCAAGACCTTGCAGACCAAAGGGAGTACCAAGTTTGTCCAAGCCATATATATTATAAATTATGTTGATGACCAGTGCCGCTTGGACTGAAGCGAGGTTTCGGTTTTTGCGATTGATAGTCTGCATTTCCCAGATGCGCTTTGCCTCGGCGAGGAATCGATAGCCAAGGCCATCAGGTTCCCAGTATCTGAAACGATTTTCTATCTTTTTGGAAGAATACTGCAAGCGAAGGTTAGAGAGTGAGTGATTCCGCGGACGATGATACTAACGCATGCATATGCCAGTATAGCGTTGACCAACAAGGCCGAACAACAAGGGGTCTTCCGGTTTTCGGATTTTGGCTTGGCCATGTCCTCTAAGAAATAATCTTTGTGAAAGACTGGCCAGAGATGGTATTCATGCGCGAAATAAGCAGTGAGTAAGTCCCTCATCAATGCGTCATCCTTGCTGACCGTAGTCCATTCCGACGGCTTCACATTTTCTATGCGAGGCTCAATCAATACTGCTGCGTGGTAGGGTCTGACATACTCGCTCCGATATTCCGAAGAGGTATATTCTGGTGGAAAAACTCGATGCTCGGGCTCTGTAGTAGCAGGATCCTGCGCCTGTAAGAGTAGGGCACGTTGAGCAGCTGCTTCGTATACCAGAGAGTCGAGATAGGGGCTGCCAGAAGTCAAGAGCAATGTTGGCATGTCCCGACTATAGGGAAGCTCGTATCTGAAACGAGTCTCTGGTGCGAGGTGAAGCTGTAGCAGCAAGTTGCCGTCTCTGGCGTGGCTTACGATAGCTGCAACGTCTCCTCCAGCTCTTACTCGGTGGAAAAGCTCGATAGCATCCTGTTCTGGCAGTGTCCTCACCAGATTGACAAACTCTTTGTGTTCTTCATATTTTTGCTTGACGCCATGGAATTCCCTCTGAATGTACCTACAGGGAATTTGACGCACAGTGCATGCTTGGCAGGATGGTCGTTCCGCGGTACACTATGAGCAGATTAGCTCTGCGACACATGGCTGCTTAGTGACAAGTATCGTGACCTTTGTCTTATGGAGGCGGCAAGCTTCGCAGGCAACCGACACTTTGTCCCTCTTTCGCGGGCGTGGTGGCTCTACTGGAGGCCTCCTCGCAGTTGTAGGTAGTAATGGGCGCAGAGGAGCGGCCATGTACCTTTACTTCTCTTCCGTCCGCCGTAACAAGAACTCGGTAGGGATGAGGACCGCCGTACTGAGCATGGAGTTTACGATGTGCCGGCACTGGAGAAAAAGCAACCAAATGCACGCTCCTCTGGTGGTTCAGCCGGAGCTGACTTTTCAGCCAATCAGCATGCAGACGCAAGTGTAATGGGAGACTGAGCCTGACGTCACACGACGGCGCACGCTCATTGGCTGGAAGATTAGCCCGATGCACCGACCAAATCCGTTCCTGAGGGGCGCCCATCAGCACTGTGCTCGTGGGTGTACATGGAGTCTTGTGCACACACACACACATATGCCCCAGCGCCTCGCTTGATATGTGTATATTCAAAGGGGGGGAGACGTGGAGCTCGCATGGCAGCGCGCCTCGTTCTCTGCTGTACTCGCCCAGTATCTGGAACGCTGTCATGCCCACTTGTGGAGAAGGACCCATAGCCGCGGAGGCAACCCTGAGGACAACTCTTGCGAGATGATACTTGGACAAACGCCTCAACCGCTACAGCAAAACTTTATTTTCAGATCAACGGCTATACATCAGTGCAGTTCCTACAGGGCAAAGATGTGTCCAGGGCGTTTAAAAAAAAGAGATCAAAAGACTAATGATTCAGGGCAAAGATGCTCAGGACTACCCAGCCAAACTCGGGTAAAAAAGAGCAAAACAAAACTAGCCGGCGTATGATTTGGCGGAAATTGACGCAAGCGGTGCACTACCTCGTTACAGCCCTTGCAATGTGCCACACGAAACCGACGCTGTCGTTTCTTTTGCATGCAACAATCAAAAAGCATGCTGAGAGTGTGCACTTGCTCGCTTGTCGACGTTGGATGTAGTGCATGTCTGTAGCAACGCAGCACAATTCGGCTGAAGACCCTCGGCTGCCAAAGTCGCTATTGGCTGTGAATGGGGGTAGAATTGTTGGCCATGTTTCTTGTAGGGGGAGCGTGTCGGTGTGGCAGTCTCTGGACGCAGTGGACGGAGTAGCCCGGCCGCTCTCTTTCTCTCGGTCTCTCAGTCTCTCAGTCTCTCGGTCTCTCGGTCTCTCAGTCTCTCGGTCTCTCGGTCTCTCGGTCTCTCGGTCTCTCGGTCTCTCGGTCTCTGGGTCGCTCGCTCGCTCGCTCGCTCATGGTGGGTGGCGCGGGACATGGGCGGCCGTATCCAGCATGTCAAGACAGGCTGTTGGCCGAGGCGGTGGTGCAGGCGGCGATGCATGACGTTGGGCCATCGGTGCTGCAGAATGGGCGCGCGTGGTTGGTTGGAATGTTGGCTCCGGGGCGTGGCTGGCCACTCAGCATGGAGCAGCCTCACAGCGTCGCCGCGGCACACGTGCAGCACGCCTCGAGCGAGCGAGGCAGGCCGTCCGTCTCCCCACGCGCGCATGTCATAATGCTATTCTCCCATGCCATTTGCCCTCCGCCCTTGCTCTCTCCCGGTCGGCCCTATCCCTTGCCACCAAACCCCCATCGCGGCCTCACCCTCCTGTGCGCATGGCCGCACAGCTTGCGAATGGCCCATCCACTGCCTGCCCCCAAGGTCGCCATCCCCAGAATTGGGCCCTTTGCCCCTCCCCAGGACCGCTCCTCATCCACTGGCAAACCAAAGCCCCCCCGCACTGATAGGGCGTGCGACAGCTGTCGAAAGCGCAAAATCCGATGCAGCGGCGAGCAACCACACTGCCAGAGCTGCCTGAACCAACTCCACCCCTGCGTCTATCCCCAGGCCCGCAAGGACCGTCTGAAGGAGTGAGTCTGGCCCTCCTCTACCCACCTTCTGCCTGACATTGCTAGTGCCACAGCCCAGAACACCCAGCTCCTGGCCCTCCTGCGTGATCTCAGTGCCCACGTCGACGAGGCTGGACAGGAGCGGATAGACGACTTTTTCGACTCGGTATGTATCGCCCACATGCTGCCCAAAGCCCGTCGTGCTGACGCGCTCAAGCTCGCCAAGGGGCGCCCGTCTGCTGTCCACCACTTCCATCAACCGGCCTCCTCACTCGGGAAGCGGTCATGGCCAGGCTCAACCACCACCCAAGGAAGCCCTCGACTTGTTGACCGCCCCGGAGAGGCCGACGTCTCGGACTCGACCGGCTCCAACGAGAATGCCGATCTCCTAGACGAGGACTTGCTTCGAAGCAGCCACTCACGAGCAACGGGCTATGTGGGCCAAAACTCCGAGGTGCAGTGGCTGCGCAGTCTCAAGACGCAGCTGGCCAACGCAAGCCTACGGGCACCAACCCACAACTTGCCGTATGCTCCTCCTGGTAGCGGCAGCGACGCTATTCCCCAACGACCCTATGCTCTGCATGGACGCCGGAGTGCGTCCTCACTCAATGACCTCCTGCACGTCACAGATTCCACCTTCTATCTGGATAGCGACCATCTCGATGTCGATGTTGTCGTGGATCCATACAAACTACCCCCACCTGATGAAGCCAAGTTACTCTTTGACTGCTATATGAACACCGTACACACTTCTTTTCCAATCGTCCCCCGAGCGTTCCAGGACGACTTCAATGAGTTCAACAACCGCATGAGGCAAAGGCAGCCATGCGACCTTTTTCAGAAGTGGCGGGCGATTCTCAACTTGGTCTTCGCAATAGGCGCCTATTTCTCCCATCTTGCCCAGACGCAATCGCAGGCCGACGGACGGGTCCATTTGATTTACATGACGAGAGCTATTCGCCTGCTAGGCCTGGATAAGGCCCCTATTTTCCTTTCGGCTCCAGATCTTCCATTGATACAAGTACGTTGTATGCACCCCGACTTGAACCTTTTGGATCCTGACTCTTGTTTAGGCCACTGGGCTTCTTTCCCTCTATTATTTGATAATTGGTCATGCCAGCAAGTAAGTCGCCCAAACTTCGGGAGTCGGAAAGCAGTAAGCCTAAACAACGTTTGACAGAGCTTGGGTCATAGTAGGCATTTCTCTCCGTTTCGCCCTTGCCGCCGGTCTTCACCTTAGGAACGAGGACCCCAACGCGAAGCAACATCGAAAAGAGCACCTGGTACAGACGTGGTGGAGCCTTCATGCCATCGAAACTCTTTTGTGTGCTAGTATTGGTCGTCCTTGCGTCATTTCCAACGACGAGTGTACTGTTCCTCTCCCGCATGGATTCTCAGATGAACAAGTCGGGAACGCTTCTCAGTTGCCTGTAAAGACTGCGAAGAAGGCCAATTTGACTAGTGGTTCCATTTCCAGAAAGTCTATGCAAGGATATAGTGACGATCGGGACGACCCTTGGACTCCATCTTTTTTGGTTGCCCGTGTTAAAATCGCAGTCATTATGCAGAAAGCACTTACGAAACTGTACTCTCCACGGACAGCAAGTAGCTCATGGGAATGTGTTCAGAAAGACATAGCCTCACTGGCAGCGGAACTGAATGCTTGGGCGGCCGTCTCTCTACCCGAGGAACTTACGTCTTTACACTCAACAATCCAGCACGCTGTTCCACGAGAGCAGCTGTTACTTGCTTTCAACTACCATAGCACATGGCTGCTCATATCTCGCCCCTGCCTTTGTCGTCTCGAGCGACGCATCAGAGGCCAGAGCAACGACTCTGCTACTTTCAACAATAACACGGCTGAAGCATGTGTTGAGGCAGCACACGCAATAACACGACTTCTGCCTGACCAGCCTGATACTGCATTTGCCTACCACCAAAGCCCCTGGTGGTGCATTGTTCACAACATCATGCAGGCCATTGCGGTTTTCCTTCTTGAGATATCGTTCGGGGAATCCCACATGAAAAATGGTGGCAAGGAAATCGCAAAGAGTACCAAAAAGCTCATCCGCTGGCTTCAGCACCTGAGTTCTACCAACACCGTGGCCGAGCGCGCGTACCAAGTGACGATGGATATCATCAAAACAGGGGCACCGCGGATTAGGATCGACATCTCTGACATTCTATCAGAGGAGGCAGGTGATTCAGATCGCAGCCACCCATTTCCCGATATGCACACTTCGGCCACCGACTCCTATCCTCCACACATGCAGGAAGCTCCACCCATGAGTGACTTGGGAATGGGATTCTCCGGTGACTTGAACAATCCACTGCTCTTTGGACAACAAGCACATAGCCACTGGTTTCTTTCGGATCCGCAGTACCTCATGCTGGACCCAGATTTGCAGCTCCCATTGACCTTTGGCAATCCATTCATGACAAATTTCGACCAGCCAGATATACTCCAAGACACCAACTTTTATGATCCGGCACCCTATTATTATTATTATTATTATTCCATTAGAGTCTATCTGCAGTCAGTGACTATGTAAGACTTTGGCCAGAGGCCGTTCTAGGTACAATTTGTTTAAAGTGAGAGTGTTCTCTGTATAGTACTGCTATTGTGCTGCGGTTTAGTCGCTTCTAGCTGCGCTTAAAGCGGACTCCAGTTGCTGAAGAGCAGTTTAGTAAACAGGAAGAGATGTTAGACAGCAGGGCTGTCTTCCAGCGAGCTCTTTTAGGGCTAAGGAAAGTAACTTAAGAAAGTTTGTTAGTTATTATTGGTTTTAGGTAGTGTCTCTCTGTTCTCGCTTATTTTTAGTTATCTTGTTCTTGGCGTAGATGCCAGCCTCTAGTCCCTACTCTAGTTTTAGCAATGAAAGCTAAAGTCGCCTCTCTGCCTTTGCTAGTGTGGAGGAGTAGTTGGATTGTTAGGTAGTTCTCGCGAAGAGTTGCTTTTAGCGCTTGCCTTTCTGTGTTGTAGTGCCGGCAGTATAGGAGAAGGTGATCTGGTGTCTGTACTCTCCCACAATCGCAGAGGTTTGAGTTTCTCTTTTTCACTCTCTCTAGATAGGCGTTAAAGTATCCGTGGCCTAGCTGAGAGAGAAGAAGG